GCCAGTGATTTCCCAGGGTCCTCCCGTTTCTGCCCCCAAGAACTGGGGTTACAGGCTTGTATTAGCACACCTGGCTTTTTACATGAATACTGGGGACCCAAACTCAGGTCCTCATCCTTATATAGCAAACTCCCACTGAACCTTCTCTCCAGGCCTGAAGCCTCTTAGTTTGAAGACACTGCCAGATAAGGGATGTTCTTTGGAACTCTAGACTTAATTGAAAAACAAATTTTCTGCCTTCAGAAACTCTCAGCACTAAATCTAGTTCTTTGACCAACGACAAGTGTGTGTGTGTGTGTGTGTGTGTGTGTGCTGTATTTGTGTTTGTGTGTACATGTGCTGTGGAGACCAGAGGTTGATATCAGTTGTCTTCCTCAATTGCCTTACTCTCATTTTTTTTGAGACAGGTTGTCTCACTAAGCCAGAAGCTCACCGACTCAGCTAGACTAGTGACCTGCAAGCTGCAGGGATCCTCCTGCCCCTGCCTCCCCAGTGCTGGGATTACATGCCTGTGCTGCCCTGCTTGGCTTTTTATGTGAGTTCTGGGGATCCAAACTCAGATCTTTGTGTTTGTGAGGCAAGCACTTTACAGACAGAGACATTCCCCCAGTCCTACCAATGACAACCTTTAAATCCTATAACCTTATGTGTGGCCGAAGGAAGAATGTCAGGAGTTAAATATTTTGCTTTTAGCTAAATGACTAGTCTCTGAAATTGTGTTGTTGAAAATTCTAACTGTAAACTCTAGCTTTCCCTGTCCCTCCTCTTCTCTACTTCCCTCTGTAAGCTGCAAGAAGTAACAAAGGCTCCAGTTCTCCTCTGGTTTATCCACTCATTCTCTAGTGATTGTAGACATGTGAGCCAAGCCCAGCTTCATGCCCATCCTTCTATTCATCTGCCATTCATCTCTTAACTGACTCATGCTGTCAGGATACAGAGATGCAAGCAGGAATACCATAGATATTTTTTCCTTCAAAAATACAGATTCCACAGAAAAGATAAATGGGGGCAACCGACAATAAGATTCAATAATTCACATCTTGGTGATGTCAGCTAGTCTAAGCTCTCAGTTTTTCTTCTTTGCTATTTTTCAAACTATCTTGTTAGTGAAAACTGAGTCTCATGGCTACCCAAGTTCATAGAACCTTGGTCAAGGTTTGTGATCAGCGAAGGAACTTATCATAAAAAGATCACTAACCCAATGCTGATTTAGTCTTTCCAAGGCAGTTATTAACTTTAGGTACCAGACTGATTTCCTTTGTCTGGGTCTTAGAATACCCATTTGTAGGACAGGGTAGGACCTGGAAATGTTTGAGGGCTCTGGAATGGTACCTAGGAACTCTTTGGAATGAGTGATTGGAACAAGAGCTAGTCACAGTGGACTGCGAAGACTGCACTGTGGGAAAGGCTTCGGAGACATGACTGACATGCACTGTAAGCCACAAGGAGATTTCATAGCTATTATCTGATTTTTATCCTCAGGAGCACCTGCTATAGTATTATCACTTCCATCATTGCATAAAGGAACTGAAGCCCAGAGAGTGAAAAGACTGTGTTAAGTATTTGAAGTCAATTTTCTTATATAATTCACACAATAATCTTATCACCTTTTGTAATTATTCCTCCTCTTCATCCATTCTTCTTCCTTCACTTTCTAGTTTACAGATAATTAATTTGAGGATCATGAAGCCTAAGTAGATTTTACCCCATTAGTAAGTACTAGAGATCAAAATCTGTCTAAATCTAAAATGTCCACTTACAAGTGTGGTCAGAATCCAAATGATTGAAAAGGCTGGAGAGTCATAGAAGCACATGTAACAATCCAGGAAGGACTGGCCATACTTCACTTTCTTTTTAAAGGTTTATTTTATTTATTTATATTCTTATTTGTGTGAGTATTTATATGGCTGCACATGCCTGTGTGTGCATGCATGTGGAGGTCAGAAGAGTATGCTGGGTGTCTTCTCCCATTATTCTCTGCCTGTTCTCTTCCTGAACCCCAGGGCTTGTGTCTGAGCTAGGCTTGAATCTAGCAATGCTCCTGTCTCTGGCCCCCCAGAAGGTGCGGTTATAGGAATTTTCTGGGAACACCTGGTGGCTTTTAAGTGAGTCTGAGATTCAAATCCTGCTCTTAACTGCTGAGCCATCTGTGTAGCCCAGTGTTTAACTTTCTTTTTAACTTCAGCCCTTATAAAAAGAGAATAAGTAAAATAATATAGGAGACTTGTACTTTAGGTTGCATTTCATCTATAATGAAGAACTATAAGGCTTTGCAGAACGGAACAGTGTGTGCCCTATCTAAAGAAGGCAGCAGTTACCCAGGGTAAAAAAAAGGCAGGTTCGTCTATGCCAGACCCTTTGATTTTAGATGAAAAACTGGATGTCTGGAACTTTAAATAAAGTTTCTTCATTTACAAATATTACTAATTTTAATACTATGCAGGCAAACATAAAACATACTCACCTTGTGGATCACAGGGTGCCAGCTTATAACCTCTGTTCTGAACTGGGCTGTCAAAGACTACTCCAAATACCAGACGTCTTGTGCTGCCTTTAATGTTCTATAGCTTTATCCAAGCACCAGCTTTGCAGCCGTAAGTTAACTCAGCTTAGGACTCGGAGTAGCAGACCTCCCTGCATCCAGCTGTGCCTATGGCTTATGGCATGCACTTACTCAGAGATGACATTGGAGACGTTGACTATCATTCTTACATAGATGGTTTTGTATGAAATAATTGCCATAATTTTCATGACAATAATAAAAAGAGATTTAATGTTATCTATTTACCAGAAAAGTAAGTTAATATTTAGGTTGGTTATAAAGATTCCTGAGCTGTAAGTTGTCAACTTGGAACATTGGATCCAGCTGGGACTCCACATTTTCTTCTTTCTAGACTTGATTTCAGATTTGATTGCTTTAAGTTAGGGAATGTTTCTTTTGTTACCTCTATTTGGTGAGACTCTCAGGCAAGGAGAAGGTAGGGCCTGGAATCATCTTCTAGGAGAGAAGACATCTCCACTATTCCCCATCTTCACCACCAGGTCCTCTGGGATGGAGAGGAGACTGACAGGGTAAAGTGGAAGGAAAGAAAACAAGAATCAGCTTCTCATAGTCCAGAAGCCTTGACACCACGGCAAGACACTCCCAACTCTGTAGGTGACTGAACAACAACACACAGGGAGGAAATCACCTGCTGGAATGCTACCCTGGGTGATGAGATGGGCAGATGCCAACCAGCTGCCTCATGGTCTAGGCCAGACCCAGAACTCTTTATATAAATACAGCCCTTGGCCCAGGTACCTCAGCCTGAATGTCTGTGTGCCTGCTGAGGAGGGTGAGTCTGGAAACCGGGTCCTGGGTTTGGGCTGAGGATTGTTCAGGGGTATCCAGATTCATGGGAGTGAGACATGGTGACGGGAGATGCTGGGGAAGAGGTCCACCAGATGAGGCAAAGAACTGATGAATTTCTAAGTAAAATAGAATTTAGAGTTTATGAGGTGGAACAGAGCTGTGAAGTCAGTGTGTTTATCTTTGACAATCCTGGCCTCTTCAGGGATCAGCTTCCCTTATTAAGACCTTGTTGTGCCTGGAAAAGACACATTACTAATTTATATTGTGTGAGCAGAGGCATACAAGGAAGGATTACCTTCTCTAGGAAACACAAACTTAGATATTTCCACCAATAGTGTATAAGCTCTGCCCTTCACTGCAAGCATTTTCAGTATTCTGGGAGTTTCCTTAGAGGTGTTTTGCTGTATCAGTCAATTGCCAAATTAGCCCCCTGCTGTGGTGGTCACTGGGCTACCTGAACGTAAGCAGTTGAATCTGGGGAGAGCTCATAAGTGGGGGCTGCTGTCTTTTCTCTCTGGATAAGGGGGTATTAGAGTGTATGCCAAAATGCCTCAGGTCATATATTTATGGCCCTGTTATATAGATCCATAAGTGTGACTGAGTATCCTTAAGTGTGCTATGAAAAGTCTCAAATGTGATTAAGAATCTGGTAGTCTTGGCCAGGCATAGTGGCACATGTCTTTAGTCCCAGCGCTCTGGAGGCAGAAGCAGGTGGATCTCTGTGAGTTCAAGGCCAGTCTGGTCTACATAGTGAGTTCCAGACCAGCTAGGGCTACAGGGAGACAGTGTCTCAAAAAACCAAAAAAAAAACAAAACAAAAAAAAGAACCTGGTAGTCTCTGGGTTACTCAATTTAGTCAACTCTATCCTGCCTCTCAGAGGGCCTGTGGAGAAAACATTTCAGAAGCTGGCAGGCTGCTGCTCTCCAGGTGACTAATAGCAGCAATCTGTCTGGTCAAGTGATCATATTGATCCTGGAGCTGGTATGTTTTGTATACAAATGAATTTGCTTATTTCTATGAGGGTGTATTTAAACAGATCACTTATAAAGATTGGATGCAAAAAAAGGAAGTATTAAATACTGGGTTCAGACCAGTTGCCCAGCAGTTAACTGGAACTCTGACTTTTCAGTGGATTCTTTGATGTAACATGAATGTAGATCATGCCTGAGTGCTTTTTCCCATATGCTTACTTTTAATGTGCACATATGTACTGGCAGTGTGCACCTGTAAAGAAACTCAAGTTCCCCTAAGTGTTGGGGTCTTCAGTTTGGGGTCTGTGTTGAAAACAAGGTTATGTGTTTTTCCTGTAGGGCTATTTCCACTACAGGGTTTAAGGAAGTGTGGAGAATCTGCTTGTCATCAGTGCTCTCTGGTGGCAGACAGAGGTATGTCCACCATTATGTCTAGCTGTGCATAATCATGACCTTTACGCAGATCCAGGGCAAGTCTCAAAAGACAAAAGTGACTAGCCTTCGCTCGGGGGCTAAGTCACTAAGAATTCTTGATGATGGTTGATGGCAGATGAAGAAAGGCCAGGGAAGACACCAGGCACCTGTTCTTAGAGCCTAACTCGCCCGTCCCAATTTGCAGCCTCCTGACCCTAGTTTCTCTACCCTCAGGTCTCACTCACCCACCTGCATCAGGACCATGTGTGACCAGCAGCAGATTCAGTGTTGTGTGCCAGTCCCCCAGTGCTGTGTCAAGGGTTCCTCCTTTGGACCCTCCCAGTTCCCCTATGCTAACAACCAGGTGCTGGTTCAAGCACCCTATGAGATGCAAATTTTGGAGTACCCTGCACCATACCCAGTTCAAGTTTCCCAACCTCCATGCCAGTCCATGACCACTGAAGTGAAGAGCCAGGCTCCAAGCTCATCGAAGACCACTAAGGTGAAATGTCAGGCTCCCTGCCAATCCAAGACCACTCAGGTGAAGTGCCAGTCCAAGACCACTCAGGTGAAGTGCCAGGCTCCCTGCCAGACTCAAATCTCCTGTGTGCCATGCCAGGCCCCCTGTCAGCCTCAGGTTTCCTATGTACAACATGAAGTCCCACAACCTGTTCAGACCTACTATGTGGAATGTGCTGCTCCAGTTTACTATACAGAAACTAGTTATGTGGAATGCCCAGTCCAGACCTATGTGCCTGCTCCGGCTCCTCAGCCTGTCCACACTTATGTAGAATGTCCCTCAGGGGGCCAGGCTCAGGGAAGCTTCTCCACTCAGGGCCAGTATCGGGGTTCCTACAGCAGCTGTGCCCCCCAATTCCAGTCACGGGCTTCTTACGGCAGCTGGGCCCCACAGCCTCAGCCCCAGGCTTCCTACAGCAGCTGTGAACCCCAGTTCCAGCCCCGGCCCTCCTACAGCAGCCGCGTCCCCCAGCGCCAATCCCAGGCGTCCTATGGCAGCTGTGCCTCCCAGTTCCAGTCGCGGGCATCCTACAGCAGCTGCGCCCCCCAGCGTCAGGCCGGGGCTTCCTTTAGCACCTGTGCACCCCAGTGCCAGACCCAGGGCTCCTATGGAAGCTTCACTGCACAGCGTCGATCTCAGAGCACCGGGCGATGCCTCGCTCCTCCGCGTCGGCTGCAGCCTTCTTACCGCAGCTGCTCCCAGCCCCGGAGGTCTGAGCCTTACTACAGCGGCTGTCTGCCATCGCGGTGCTCCTCCGGCTCCTACGACTACTGCACTCCACCCCGCCGCTCGGAGCCCATCTACGGCAGCCAGTGTCCCCGGGGCCGCCCTTCAGGCTGCTCTCAGCGATGTGGCCCCAAGTGCAGGATAGAGATTTCCTCCCCCTGCTGCCCCAGGCAGGTTCCCCCTCAGAGGTGTCCTGTTCGGATTCCTCCCATCCGAGGAAGATCCCAGAGCTGTGCCCCACAACCCTCTTGGGGTGTCTCCTGCCCAGATCTGAGGCGGTGCCCAGAACCACGTCCATTCCCGAGGTCCTGCCCGCCACAGCGTCTCGGCCGCTGCCCAGAGCCATCATGGCAACGATGCCCAGTTCCTGCTCCACGTCCACGTCCGCGCCCAGAACCAAGCCCAAGTCCAGAACCCCACCCATGTCCCCCAGCGCGGCGATTTTCAGAACCTTGTCTGTATCCGAAGCCCTGTCCACCCCCTCAACCAGCTCCACGTCCGGCACCTCGTCCAGCGCCACGGCCTCGCCCAGTGCAGTGTGAGAATCCAGAGCAAGGTCCCCGCCCGCAGCCGTGTGAACTCCCAGAGCCCTGCCCACATCCAGAGCCAGTTTTCCACCCTGCGCCCTGCCCCAGCCGAGAGCCACGCGGGGAGCCAGTTCGTTGTCCCAGTCCCTGTTCTGGCCCAAATCCAGTTCCACACCCGCAAGAACTAGGCTGTCATGAATCTAACCCATGCCGTCTGGACACCGAAGGCCCCAGCTGTGGCCCATACAATTACAACCAGGAGCAGGAGAGTAACACCAGCTGTGGATCTGGTGAAGCCTTTCCAGAGTCACAAGGTCTAGGCGGTTGCGGAGACCAAGGAAGATCCAGTTCTGGCTGTAAAGGTGGAGCTTATACTGGAGCAAAGGGGGCCTATTTCTAAACAGTGTGGCCAAGGCTGTCCCTGCCTTAAGTTCTTGAAAATGTTGCTCTCCCTCTCCTTGTGTACACCTTTCTGGAGATTTAGAGGCTCCCTGCTTCAAAGATGGCATCCAATCTCTTTTGCATTATTATTTCAGGTTCCATACCTGAGCCCCATTGCATCTCATTCCTCCCATACGCACAGCTTTAATTCTAGTCAGACCAGCTTGGCCACCAGGGCACACCTTGGGTGTTCCCCAGAACATTCCTCTGGTCCTTGCCTCTACCGACATTCCCTCTGCTGGAAGCATTTCTCTCCTGTTTTCCAGGACCTGAAATGGAATCCATCTCTCCACACCTCTTCCTTTGACCCTTTCCCCCCTGCCTGATCCCATCCATACAGCCTGTTCTGACCTCTAGAATTCATTGTCTTACCCACACCATCCATCTACCAACTGCTTTGCAACATCCCTTGAGCTGTTGCTTTACTTTTCAGGTGTGCCTATCTTTCCTGCCCAGCTAGATTATAAACTCCCACCCAAGTGGAGTCGGTATATTCCTGTTTCCAGGGCAGCTTGAACCATGCTCTGTCTAGTTGCAACACTATAGAAGCGGAGGCAAGAGAACACGTAACAATAAAAACCTGATGTACTCACAACCTGAATCCTGAGTAATTTCTGTTCTTTATTTGTTTCCAATTTGTTGACATGAGGGTTTTTTTAAATTATAGTAAAAATATATAACAAAATGTATCATCTTAACCATATTTAAGTGGAATCAAGTATAACTGCACACACTACCATCCATCTGTCCTGCAGAACGAAAACTCCAAACCAAGGAAATAATAGCATCTCATCCCCCACTTCTCCATAGCATCTACAAACTGTCATTCAACTTTCTGTCCCTATGACTTTGATGCCATGTATGTCAAAGGTGGACTCATTTAGTATTTACACTTTTATGGCTGGATTTTTTGCTTAACATTTTTTCCCCTCCAGGTTTGCTTTGTTGTAGCATAGCATAACTTTCCTTCTTAAGACTACTATTCTGTTGCTTGCATGAATACATTCTTTATTTGTTCAGCAACAAAGGACTAAGCACTTAAGTTGCGCCCACACATTAGTAAGGCCCCAATCAGCGTAAGTATAAAATATCCTACTGAGTCTATGATTTCAATTCTTCTGGGTAGATATCCAGAAATAGTATTGCCGGATTGTATAATAATCCTATTTTCAATTCTTTGACGCACTATCACACTGTGTTCCATGGTGACAACACCATTCTCATTCCCATCAGTAGCAGATAAGTCCTCGTTTCTCCACATCTCTGTCAACTTTTGCTGTTATTATTTTTCTTTTACTACTAGTCATCCCAATGGCTATGATGTCATATGAATTTTCATTTTAATTTATTACTTTGCTCTTAGGTTTATTGCATCCAATTGCCTGAGCTTTCCTTGCTCTGATAAAATAAGACAGCAGGGACGATATCTTCCTAGTTAAGGAGAAAGGGTGTTCAGACTTATATTTGGTAGTTGCTTGGGCCTAGTCCTAGGGCTACAGTCAGAGCCACGCTACCCGAGACTCTGGAAGAATGGGAGGAGGTAACACCTGGAAGCTCTCTAGAGATATACTTTCTTTTGAATTAAATTATTTGCATTTATTTAATTACTTATTGTTATAGAAAGAGAAGACTCTGAGCCAGATTCTAAATCAATCTTTTCAAATCTAAATTTAGGGATCAGAGGGCAGAAAAGATGGTGGGGGGGCTCTTTCTCCCCATCTTTGCAGATGAGATGGATGTTGCTCCCATGAAGGGGGGCGAGCATATTGGAGGACGACCCTTACCTAGAGTGAGATGGTATCTGAAGATCATAGTGGTTTACAGAGGATGAAAGGCCTATGACGGCAGATGCTGGCTCTGACCTGGGGCTTGGAACATCTGTTTCCTTCCATGTCCTTTCCTCACAGGGCTCATCCTGAAGGACCTCAAAGCTGCAGGACCAGAGCCGAGAAGACAGTCAAGGCCTGGCTCTGAGTATGCTGTTCCCTTGCCCAAGAAATTATGTCTGTAGGATCAGTTTGGGAGATCTAGAAACTACCTAGACAAACCTTGTGTGGTGTAAAGGAAAACTGAGATCCTTGTACAAGATCCATTCATTCACACTCTACTGACAAACATTTATTGCTTACCTGCTAAGAAGACACTGGTAAAAAAGGCAGACATGACCCTTGTTAACTTTCAGTGTACAACTTAGGAAACTGATTCTTGGTGGTACTTGGACCAGAAATATCAATGTTGTTATGTCAGCTTTTCCTGGGAAGACAAACAAATATCTACTCACCCTAAATCTGGTACCAATGACAGATCAGACAAAAGTCTACCTTGGTGAACCAATGAGTTTAATCAGGGTTACTTAAAGAGCATGAGTGAGGGGGTTATTTATAGAAGCATGGGTAGCTGATGAGCATCAATACCACTGAAGAGAATGTCTCTCCCAGAAACCAATAACTGCCCACATATGCTCAGGGAGGGGCAGGGTCTCCTCCCCCCACGACATATTTAATAGGCCCAATTTTATGTGGGTTTCATGCAAGTAAGCACAACTAGTAAGAGTTTAAGAGTGTAATTGCTGTGTCACGCCTGGACCACAGCATTCCACACTATATCTATTCCCCATTCATCCTGCCTTTACATTGTTTCCAGCCCCTATTCTGTGATGCTCCCTGGGGCTTGGCGGGAGTGGTTCAGACATCCATTTTAAATCTGAGTGTTCGACAGTCAGATTTTCTCAGAATTTTCAACCAGTTATGAGTCTCCTATAATTGCTGCCTACTGCATTGAGATGTTTCCCTGACGGAGGGTGACAATAGCGATGATAATCTGTGGGCATCAACATAGCTTAGAAGGCACTTTGACAGCCACATCTATTTTGCAAAACAACAGCAGTAGCTTCCCTCCCAGGGTCTAAGATTTTCCTAAAGATTGACTTTTGGCTGGACTTACAATATCAGAAATGAATTCTATTCTGTTGAGTGGGCCTTAAATCCAGTCAGAAAGTAGTTGGTCATACCCTCAATAGTCATTATTTCTTCAAAAGATCAGAAGTGAGCATTACAAGTTCTAGACAGGGAACCAGAAAAAAGTCAGAACAGGGCAAATTTCAAATGTTCATATCGGAGTCCATTGGGATTTCTTGGATTTATTGGGTTCCTCCTCATTTTCCTTTTGTCTGCCGAGGCTGGGCTCAAGAGTGATAGGCTCAGGCTTTGTTTTCAGGCACTTTGATGGCTATTGGAGCGGCTAGAATCAGTGTCAGTTCCCTCTCAAAGGCTTCTAGATAGGGAGATAAAACAAATTTAGCCATCATTTTAGAACAATAGTGGGTTGTCTCCCTTAGCCACAGGTGGGCACTACAGTATTGGAGACTAAGATTTGAAGTCTTACATCTGAGCAGCACTTTCTGCTTCGAAACAAAATCATCAACAAGAAATAATTGTCTAAATAACATTTTGTATGGACAAGCCTAATAATGTCTGGGAAGTGTGATCCCTTGAACTTTTAAAGAAATATACTGATCACTTTAATCTTTGGTTATACTTTCCTTTTGGGTGTTTAAGACCATATAGTTGGCCCAAATAAACTACTCTTGCCTTTACCTCTACTTCACATCCCCTATTCACCAGTCAAGGACTTTCTTTTCTCCCTACAGTTAAGAGTTATACAATTTGGAGTCTTTTAGATAGACACACTGAAGGGGTACCCCAATTGCTTCACCCTGCATCCCTGTTCAGCATGGAAGAAGCCAGAGCGGTCTGTGTCCCAATTCCCTATTGGCAATTTGGGTAACCTCTTCAGAGGATGGTGTGATAAGAATAGGAGGTAGGAATTGCCCAGGCAGTTAGGGTAAAAAAGACCCCAGGGAAAAGTAGCCAGTTTCTTGGCTAAAAGTCAAAATGTCCTTGGGCCTCTTAGCAATGTACTCTGTTCCAAAGGCCAAAAATGTCAAAAGTATTTGGGAGCTTGTACCTAATCCCTAAAAGATTTTAGGGTTACCTCTTCAGAGGGGGGAATGTTAGAGTAGCAAAAAGCCCCATTAAAAAAGAAAGAAAGAAGCTGTTAGAAAAAAGTGATGGGGAGATATGGGAAGTATTGGAAGAGAGGGAATGGGCATGGATTTGATCAAAACACCTTATTTGCATGTATGAAATCTCAATAAAGTTTTTTATAAAGTTAAAAAAAACATCAAAAGTGAGTACAGCAGTATGGACGGAAGAAACTACCGTAGTTATCCCTTCACAGTCCACAATCATTCTCAATGAGCTTTGCGGCCTCCTCATTCTGGAGTGCTGATATGAGACCACCATGCATCTCCCCAGCTTTGGCTAGCTTGATGAGGCTGGCTCAAGATGTTCAATGCAGCCCCAGGTAAAGGAGGAAGAGAGCCATGCTTTTGCCTGCTGCTGGGGATGGTGTCCCAGGTCTGACGGGCTTTATCCTACAGCTAACACTGCTGCCTCTCTATTAGCCATACCTGGTAGCTTAGGGGGTCCTGGTCTTGATAGATGACTTCCAACCTCAGTATACTTTCTTGTAGGAAAGAAATGTACACATCTTGCTCAGGGTGGGGGTGGCAGTTGTTAACTACTTATTCCTGGGAGAAGCTTAGTGTTTTTCAGCTGCAGTGTTACATGATTTATACCTTCATCAAATTTCTACTTGGGCTTTGGAACCTACTAGGGGACATCACAAGCACTGAATTTGACTTTCTGTAAGCATTTTCCTTCGGAACTCTGGTCCTAAGCAAATCTTGTCACATTTGCTTTAGATTCAAAAAGACCCAGACAGGCCTATTTTTCTGCATTTTTTTTTTTTTTATCCTCTCTTGGCTGCTTTAGCACTTTAAAAAACACACACTTTACATTCCAGTGTAAATCATTCAGAGTTGCCAGAGTCTTTCCTATCTCTTAAAGACCTTGTCCCACCATGGGGTTCAGCACAGTCACTAAAATTCTTTTCCAG